TTAAGTGTGACAGCCCATCTCAAAATCCAATCACCGTTTGATGTATCCCTTCCCTACATTTTTTCTTTTTTTGGTAATCCGTTACACTCAGATGAATGTCACAAAGAGGAAGACAAGCTGTTGCTAACTCAAATCACGGATATAGTGGATATTGACTACACTGAACAAACAGACCAGATTTTATCTCTTGCAAAATAAAAATATAGACTGAGCATCAAAGATTAGATTTTAAAGTTACATTTTTTAACAGTTTTGTGTGCAGTGTGAAGTTGAACATAACCTTCTAATATGGTCACATTAATGAAATTTCATGTGCAAAAAATAAAAAAATTCCCATTTTCAACAGCATAGAAATTCATTGAGAACAGCTCAGAGATACATCGGATTCAAGCCAAGCAGCTTTCTGTTGGTCAGCACGGAAAAGCTTGTTCGAAATTACATACAAGCACCAACATAATAATGACTCAACTGGTTTTTCAATGTAAGAGAAAACCTTTTATTAATTTCCCGTTTCGGACTACAAAGAATGGGAGGAAAATACAAGAGACATCATTGACGTTAAAAAGGGATCCAGCAAAAACAACATTTGTGCAATTTAATCCCTTTGCATAAATTAATATAAGGGCCGTTGAGGAAAAGTATACAACTTCTTGTTCTTAAATTTGATTTTAAGCCTTTGGTCCAGCACTGGACATGTTTAGTAGTCAGGACGGTTCTTCTCCAGCTTGCTGTAGTCCATGTTCACTGCGTAGAACTTAAAATGGGGAAACAGAAAAGTGAGAATACAAAATAAGCAGGTTAAGATTATGCACTCAGCAAAATCCATTAACTCCGCTGCCCGTGTATGTATTGAACTTGAACTCTACTCCACATCAAATACACATTAAGACACAAGCTTGATTAGATTTGTACTAACTAACAGCACACATAAAATGAGCTTATGAAGCGCTTAATGAATTAAACTCATTAAGATCTTAGATTAGGTCCTGATACGGTCCTCCAGTCACATCTTTTAATAGGATCCCCTCAGGCGCTCCAACAACAATGGCATGTTTAAGTGTTTTACTACCACCACATATGCTGGTCAGTTAGATTTCGAACTCAAAATGGTCACTTACTGGATGCTAAACATCTCGAAAAATGCTTTATCATCACATTAAAGAGAATGTTCTGAATCCAAACAAGGAATTTTAACAATTACCACAAATTACAACTTAGACTTGTCCCCTCAAATCATTAAAACCAAGCCAAAATCACGCTCAAGGTAATGAGGTTACAATGCAAGTCTATTCCAGAAGCTCTAAAGCCATTATAATAATTCTTCAGTACAAAAATGTGCTGTTTGAGCTGTAAAGATCCAAAACATACTTGGCAGGTTCAGCCTTCTAACAAGTTATCGTGATGCTAGTATCATGTTCAAATGGTTGAGTTTCTCCTAATGTAATTATTATTGCATAGTCATATTGAATGGATTTTCACAAAAACAGTCATGGCTCACACTATGTTCTGAATTGTCTTTATTGATAAGCTCAGTTTTCTCATGACTGTGTGACACATTACGGTCACTTAAAAAAAAATGTTTATAAGTTGAGCCCTGCAGTGGCTCATTTCATAGACTTCCATTACAAATGCTTTACTGTGAATGCAACGGTTTCAAACTGAAGGACCGAAATCATTTTCTTATTTCTGTGGTATTCAAGAGAATTCCACATATGCTGTTGACAGAGCTTTCCTTTAAACACACAGGGTGCTGCATATATCATACCTTGTACTGATCGGTGGGCTCCATTTTATTCCAGGGCTCTGGGTTGTTCGTTTTGTCCCAGCTATGGATATGAAGCAAATGAGTGCACAAATAAACAAGGCATGCATGATAAAAACTAAACAGAAGAGTTGACATGAAACATCTGATCAGCACTGTTGTTCTCGCACAACTGATTGGGTCAAGGTATGAAAAATCACAAGTTACTGTTGCATTGCGCAGCATCAGCTTATGGCTGTCTACACTGGACACGACAAAGCAAACGTTGCAAATCTATTTGTTTTTTGTTTCCGAAGTAGCATGCTTGAAGTACGTCAGAAATAGATTGGGGCATCAGTTTGTCGAGAATCTGTTGACGCATTGAGTGTAGACAGAATCACTGATTATAATGGGTTCTATTTTTTCACTTTTGTTGTGTTGCAAACACAACAAGAAACAGCTCTAACACATGGTGTTAGATCTCAACAGCAATTGTTCTTGAATTAACCAAAAGGAATGAGACCTTTCAGTTATGCTTTTGTATCCATAGTGAGAGACAGGTGATTAATGGACTTGTATCTTCTGTAGAACAGTGCTTACCAGACATCTGGGTTACGCAAGGCCAGGCGAGCCAGATACGACAGAGACATGGCGCATCCACCGCCAATGAAAACGAACAGTGGATCAACTATGGTGAAAAAATGAACAAAAAATATATATAAAGCAACTGTGACTAGAAGTCAAATGACTTGAAGGTGATGCATTCAAATTTGAAATTATGAATGATTTCAGGATGTCATTTTACATTGTACAGGCTATCAGTTAGCAGCTCTAGAATTCTCTTATTGTACAAAAATAAAATGTACAAAGCCATATTATAGACCTCTCCATGTGAGAACCACAGATCTAGATTAGGCTATAGTATTGACTGACATTACGTTACATAAAATTGTTCACAAATGTTTGCTTCATGGCAACACAAAAGCCTTAAATAACAAACAAAAAAAACATTAGAGTTTCTCAGCTTCAAAACTTTATAAGCAAATGCCTTCAGTCATCAGAAACTGTAAGTGGTTAGGAGATCCACAGCCAAGATTTAAAAATACAAGTCATTCAATTAAAAAATATGTTCGACAAAAAAACAAAAAAAACAACATACAAACATAATACAGACAATACGAAGTAAATGGCTCTAATAGTTTAAAGGGGATTGTGGCCACACTTGTCAGTCTGTCCTTAGTTTAACACGCTCGTCCTTGAGCTCCAGATTGCCAAAGCGGTCATGTGACACACGCATGCCTCCTGTGACGCATTCAACTAAACTCGCTTCAATGGCATTTAATTTCAAGCTAGATTAAGGTTCAGCTAATTATTCACATAAAGACTTGCATAAACATGCGACTGGTCCATTAAAATGGGAAAGTGTGTTGTTTACTTGTGACGGTCGTGACTGTTTGACACGTTTGTGTAGTTGTTGCAACTCAACCGGAACATTTTGTGAGCTTTACAATATATTTATTTAATGTATATTTTATACCCGATTGAAAACTTATTCTGAATTTAAAGTTCTTAATCGAAAAAGGTCAATATCTGCAATTGTACGAAAGTGCATGTATTATAATTCAATAACAAACAAAAAATACTCATTGACCTTTCGGATTTCCATAGTTACTGAAAGTCGTTTTTATTTATTTATTTTATTGAGATTGAGACACCAACAAACTAGAGATTTATATCCGACCAATTATTTTAGAACTGACATTTCCATGAACTTTATTGTTTTAATAATTACTTCTCCCATTACCTTTCCAGACCTGGGAACCACACTTTTAAAATTCCTGATATTTCAAGGATTTTCCATGTAATATAAAAACATATTTAAGGATTCATTTGTGTTTATTCCGCGTTGTAAATATCTAAACTGGTGGCACGTCTAACTTAGCATTCCGCAGCAGGGACGCTAACAGGCTAGCTAAGTTAGCTACAACGTTAGCACAACTCGCACTAACCATCGTCTATTACAGAATAACTCGTCCTGAAATCATAATTTACTTACGGCAGGGTGGCTTCTGAGTTGCCGGCTGACCGTGCCCAGCATTATGATTGATGAGATGATTTATATTCTCCCAAAAAAAGTACACAAATAAAGGAATTGAACGAGGCTCGTTCGAGAACTCTAGCAGGATGGCTTCAGCACTGAGAGAATAGGACACGGTTTACGGGGGTCTTATTGAGTTTGCCTGATTTGTTATTTATAGTTAGACAAACGTTGCCATCTCATTTCAGTTAATAAGTACGTATTGCTGTGTAATAATTAAAATTTTAACCAAATAATAAATATAAAAATGACAAATAAATGATACTATGATTATATGCTGAGGTATTTTGTAAAGGCGATGCTGTGGATACTCAAAGGCGCGGTAACTGGGTTCTAAATCTGATCTGATCTAGGGTCAGTTTGCGAGTTCGCACGAAACACTTTTGATTTTAGATATCTGATCCCACATCAGAAAGAACATTTAAGGACTTTAGACTAGAAGGTCGTTGTAGGTCGAATTTGTGTTTTATATGAATGAGAAATGCCATTTTAAATGGGCAAATATAAACCATGCATACATTTTTCTCTTTGTCATACAATATTATCTGTAACGTTAGTTATAGTTTCATTATCAATAGTTTTTAAACTGGTTCTCCGAGCACTTAATTGATCTGTTTCACCCGAGTTGCTCATTTAAGACAATAAATGAGTTGTGCTGTGTCATATTTCACCTCAAAGATTAAAGATAATAATAATAATAAATAAGTTTATTGATATGAGGTTAAATAAAATTACAATTTTAAATAAAGCTTATAGCCTATTTTGCGTTGCGACATTATTTTTTCTCATGACAATTTAACACATTTTGTCCCTTTTTTGCATATTAATACTACTACAGTAACCTTACTCTGAACTACCACAACTTTGAGAACCATATCATCCTGCTTTCACTTCTTTATATTCACAGCATGCGTTAACAAAACCACCTTTACATATTCCCATTTACATAGCCTCAAAGTGCTCATCTCAAAAACGAGCATGAGATTAAAATAACAGAGAGAAAGAGAAAAAGGAGAAAAGCACTTCATCATCGTTTTAGCCAGGACAGCCTCAGGGCAGCTTGTTCAAACGGCGTGTGTGGAAATGTAGTTTTGCTGTGCTGCCAGACTAGTTCTCCTCTTCGGGCTCTTTTAATCAGATTGCCTTCTTGACATCCGCCGTGTTTGTTTCCCTCCAATTTCATTTTGTGCTTTGAATTGCACATTAACCTTTCCTCAGAGTTCCTGCTAAGCAAACGGCGAATGTTCTCCATTGCGATCACGATTATGAGAGGTGGATGGCTGACTCACGTCAGGTACATTTCATCCAGTTTAACTGCATCTTCAGCTCCAGTCCATTCAATGCGTTCTCGACGCCACTGATGTGTTTTGTACCGCAACAAGACGTGCACTTTAAAAGGTGCGATTGAAAACACAAACCCATTCATGTCTTGGTTGTATTTCTCTCCCCAGGGCGAGAACACGATGATGGCAGACACGAGCAGCGTTTTTGGCAGACGTTCCCCGATGACAGCTGGTCAACAGCATCTTCTTTGCAACCTGATTGAGTTTCCCTTTTATTTAAACACCCGTTATGATGACAAAGAGATTCATTACTAGAGTTGCAGAGTAGAATCAATCTATAAAATTCAATTTTTATTCTGACACAAGGATGCATTATAATGCAGATGATTCTTTTGTAAAAAAATGTCAACTTTCTAAACATTTGCTTTGTTGACTTCAAAACAAGACATGAGACACAAGAATATAAATATGACATCTGGTATGAAAAAGCCATGTTTTGACAAATAATTCATCTATACAGCAGGTGTTTGTGCATTACATACACAAAGTAAACACCCCACGCGCACACACACACGCTACCTGGGGAATGCAATGACAATTATCATACGTTAAACATAATTCACCACCTAAATTAAGGCAGAACTGAATCCCCATTTCTTGATGTATATATAAATGTGTCAAAAAGTACGAATTGGGGTAGCTAAAAAATTCTGTGGTTGCCCTGCTGGAGTCTTCTAGGAAGTACAATCAGCGTGTGCATTTTTTTAGACTATAGTATTAAATAGGATCTTTCCCTGTATCCAACCTTTCTCTTTTAGATTTTGCCTTATGAGCTTAACAGATTATGATTAGGCACAGACATATATTTGCACTGTCCCTCTGTTACCATGGATTCCAGTTTGAGAGATGATGGGTTAAATAGATCCCATTATCAAATGTTCAGAATGTCAACAATATTTTGAGCACTAAAAACATCATCTCTGAAGTACCCCAATGATGGAATTAGTGTTGTAAAGTGTTTAAAGAATAAGTATGTTTGTCTCAAGGGTTCAAAAGCAGGCATCCACGTACGCACACACACACGCGCACACGTTTTCAGTCTTCAGTGTGGCGTCTTCTTAGGAGACTTTCCAAATTTGGCATCCAGTCCCAGGCCTGAAAGACAGAGCAGAGTCATGGTTAGCTTCTTATACATCTGCTCATTA